CGGCCCGGCTCGGCACGGCCCGGCTGCTCCGGGGGCGCCGCGCTGCTGCTCAGCCCCGCCAGGGCCGGTTGGGCTCGGGGAGCCCCGCGCCGCCGCCCCCTCACGGCAGGGCTCCCCGAGCCGCAGCGCTGCGGGACAGGCGGGACAGGCGGGACAGGCGGCGGGAGTGCGGGCAGTGCTCCGGGCAGTGCTCCGGGCAGTGCTGCCGGCTCCGGCCCCGCTTTCCGGGAGCTCTCGGTGCCGCCGGGCCGAGCCCACCCCACACCGATCCCACCCCACACCGATCCCCGTGCCTCGCCCTGGCTTTGGTTCTGGTGATTTTTTCCGTTCCGGGTGCGCCGTGTGCGGGGTCGCAGATCGCTCCTCACGGTCGTTGTGGCGGCCCCGCAGCCCCAGGGCCGGGCTTTGCTTTGTTCGGGTGCGCTCCTGCCCAGCCTGCTCGCGTGTCGCGATACAGCCTGAGCCTTGGCAGTGCTTTCAGCAGAAACACAGAGAAATAAACTGCAACGCCATTTATTTCCAAGGTAGTTCTTGCTATCTGCACAGCCCCTTCTCTTCCTGCCTCAGCTCTGCCTCCCTCCCCTGAGTGTGTTTACCCTTCCTGTGAAGCTGCAATCTGCCTTAATCACTCTCTGGGGCTGTGCTGGTACTAATAAGCTMCTCATAGCAACTTAAATTATAACTTGCATAATCAGTGTTTGGAGCAAATATTGGTTAGAAGAATATGCCTTTCCTATCAGTGCTGTGGTTGCTGGAAAGAACCATTGATTATCTTTTAAATAGTTAACACTGCTGATATGCTGCCCTTCAAAATGTTACATTGATAACTGAACGGGCTGATGCCAAGGATCAGAATACAGCATTGATCTGCAGCTGGTAACTTTTTTTGAATGGCAGTGTCTGTCACATAATTAAACAAAAGTAATGAGTTAAGTGCTCTCAGAAAAAGAGGGTATAGCTGTACAAAAAACATCACAGAACTGTCCTACCTTTCTGAAAATCACAGGCCTCAATGGCCTGGTGTTTCTTTTTTGAGGGAACAGTTGATCAAAGGACATAATCTGAATAAATTCTTCTGTATTTAAACCCTCTCTGTTAAGCAGTTAATGTGTAGCTGTGATATTAGTGTTTTATTTGGGCTACAGCAATGGGAAGTGTCCCTTGAGTGTGTCTGGACACTGCTGCATGTTTCCCTGGTGAAAGTTAATCCTCAGAAAAGGAAACACAGTCCCTTTACTGAAGAAAGTAATTCACAAAGTGAAGAGATCTGACCTCATGTTCCTGTCAATTCTGTAATCTGTCCTTACCTTAAAGTCTTGTCCACATGGGTGTGTCATGGTGGTCTGTGGAAAACATTCACGGACATGAAAGGCAGCTCAGACTAAAGCAAAGGTTTGCTGCACATCAGCAGAAAAAGGAGAGCTTGGGATCTGTGTTGAATTAGTTCAGATTTGCAAAGTGCAACTGGCTCTACAAACTTACGGTAAATATCAGCTCTTTTAATGATTTCTAAAACTGGTTATTTCCTAATAGCAACTTGTATGTGGACATGAATGACTGTAATTCTTTAAAAAAGTCACAAARCTAATAGCAGGAGAACTTACAGCTTTGGTTGTACTTGGTTGCTTTCTTTGTGAGACTGACAGGCTGCAATATGAGTGTAATCAGCTTCTGGATCTTCAGCTCTGGCTTAGGTGACTTTCCTGCACGGTTTCTTGTTTTATATTGAAGTTGAATGTTGTTGTGTTCATAGCAAATTCTCACTGATTTGTGTCACTAGTTCTTATCATTAATTGATCTTGGAAATTCATTAATAATTACATCTTGCTTCCATTTAGCATGAATTGTATTGGAAAGAGGTCATCAGATGAAGGAGTGGTTTTGAGAGAAAACTGAGAACAGTTSTTTTGGAAGACATGTCAGTGAAATTAATTGAAGGAGTATACACTGAGCAAGGAGGACTGCCAGACAGTTTGACAGACTTCTGAGCTGTGCTCTGACAAATTTGTGAGTGGTTCAGAAAAGGCTCGGTTCTGCTGCTTGTTTGGTTCAGCCTAAGGAACAGGAAGACTCCTGTGTGGTGTGTGTGTGTGTGTAGGGGCAGTGGGGGATGAAGCATTTGGAAAGGGGATGGAAGGAGAGGGGACAGGCAGGGTTATTCTACATTGCATTTCCTCCTGGCAGAAAGAACAGCTGATTTGGGGACAAAGAGATGCACGGCTGCAGGTCAGAAGGAGTGACAGTGATCCAGCACTGCTCAGGTGTGTTCCACACTTTGATTTTCTTTATTGATGCCAAGGAAATGTTGGTGAATTTAACTTAGAACCTTGGAGCACTGTAAAATCCATCATGATGGGGTTCTGGCAGTTTGTAGGAACTTGCAAATTGCAGAAACAATGTTATTGTTCCACTAGGCACATGGGTCTGTACGTGAATGTAACAGGAAAACTCTGCTCTGAGTAAGAAGAGACTATAAAAATAGAGGCATGGGATGTTAGAAAAACAGTCTTTTGTTTCATTCTCATACTTAAAAATACAGAAGAAGCTGAAGATTGGTAGYCAGAGTTCTTGGAAGACTGAAAGAACAATCTATAAACACTCGAGGGACGAGGATAAAGGGGCTTCATCAGAATTCCCTGGCTGGGCTCCTGCTCTTTGGCTGCTTCTCCCTTGGGGTCTGCATCTTATCTCGCTGCCTTCCTTTCCTCTCTCTGCCTCTGACTAACAGGCTTTGTCTTCTGCTTACTGGAAGTCTAGTGAGTTCTTTTGTCTCATACCCCTTCCTCCTTTTAAAAAATACTAGATTAATGGCTGTARTGTTTTGCAGACTATCTGCATTGGTGACATGGATTAATTGTGTGCTTGACTCTTGAGTTCCCCAGCAGTAATGACATAGTAACTCGACTTGARACAATGGTAATTTCAAGGCAAATGTTGCAGTCTGGTGAAGTGCCAAGTGCAATTTACCCCTGTAAACATGTGACACAAGTAAACTGTCTGTGCAGATTTTCTCAGTACACTGACTTGTCTCGAGTGTGTCTTTTGAAACTGTCAGTGATCTCTCTTTTCTCCTCCCCCCCTCTCTTTTGACTCTCTCCTGAGTCAGGTAATTACAGATTGGGTTGAAACCTTCCCAGGAAGTGATCAGCAAAGCCAAGACTTGCAGGGTGCTCCCATTGCTCAGTGCACCTTGGCTTCCCCTTCCCTGAGCTGATGGGCTGGGGGAGAGCAAATCACAGCCCTGGAGGTGGGGTTGGCAAATCCAGGGGAGCTCTGATTTTCCTGGAGCAATGCCAGTGTTCTTTGTGGTGCCATCAGGAGGTGCTCCTGGTCACTGTGGCTTTGGTGTGATACTGGGGTGATGTTTTCTACATTCTCATCTCAGTGCTGACCATAACAGAGCAAACGGGGAATCAAAGCCTAAAAGAGAATCTGAGAACTGACCCATTTAGGTCTCCATTTTATCCATGTGTCTTGGGGGGCAGCTCTCTGGTCCAATRATCTRCATYTTAGAGGAAGCAGAARATCTGGATYTTATTTAAAGGTTATTTAACTGAAATGCTTTGCTGCTAGAAGAATGACTGTTAAGGGACTACTTAGATGTAAATATTAAAGAACTCTTTCACAGAAGCAGGAATACTGTAGAGAAACCAACAAAAGCATAGGTGGTGAGACAGGATTCCAGCAAAAAGAATAAGCTACTGTAATATTCTGTCTCAGAAAGAATGGTTATAAATGCTGCTCTGTCTACAGCATGTGTTTTGTGAAAGACAAAACTTACTTTGCARAATGTGAGAATGCTGTTCCTGACCTCCTGTCACAGTTTGTTATTCCCACAAAGTCAGACTGCCAGAGACAGTATGACAGTCATRGTTGTTTGTTGTCTCACTCTTCCTATTTCCTGAATGTAAGTGGGTTTTTTTGAACCAAAAGGATTRTGTGCTCCTGAAATACACCAGTCTTATTTTTGCATCCATGTAGTAGCAGAAAGTGACAGTTTTTATTTCTTTGATTTTTTTTTTTTGTGTAAAGCTTTTCCTCCTGCAACTTTGAAACTTTTAATACAGTCAGTGTTACCCTTTTGTTTGAAAATGTCAAGGGAGGGAGAAAATCATCTTAACACCTATGATTATGGGAGGCATGTGTAGCTTAGTAATAGAGTCACAAATACAAATGTTGTAGCTCTTGGTTTTGGTCACCTGCTGACTGTCCAACATTTTCATTGCCAGTGAGTCTGTACAGAAAGGCTGGAGTATTCTGGATCAGTGCATAAATGGGYRGCCTGGAGTGCCAAAGGTCTGATGKRTTCAGAGMCAGCAGTTACCTGTGCTTGGAGTTAGTGATTATGGCTCATGAGGCACAGGATGGATACCTGCTCACCTGGACTCTTGCAGGGCATGGGATGTCAAGTGARATCAAGGATATGTGAAAACTTTTTAAAAATGTTYATGTTGATTGAAGCTGCCACCAGAYTTCYCGAGGAGAGCCCAGAGTCTCKGTTACAGCTATGACCAAGTTCAAGTACTCAAAGGAGCTCCTTTGAAGCTGCTCATGSAGTTAACATGGAAATACTGCAGCATCCTTTGGGCAGTGGGAAATGTTGGTATTGCTCACTGCAGTGGGGAAGTTGGGACTCAAATCAAGAGAGAGAATTAGGGCTGCTGCAGGTGGCTCCCTATATTTTCTGCTTTAAAAACTGCAGTCAGTTCAAAAATCCAAGCATCTGCWCTTAAGGCACTTTCACATGTCAGTGCTTTCACTTAAAACAATTTGTTGTGCATAACTTAGATATGATTCCAGTATTTAYGTGGTCAGCTGGTACTGAAGTTCCTCCACAAGTGCATGCAGKGAGTGATTCTTTTGGCTGGCAGCCTGTAAACTGTGCTGCACTCACTGAGATGGCYAGCAGGCCTTCTGTAAACTCCCTGGGAGCATCTGCTGCCAACAGAGATCTGGTGAGGGGGTCTGGCTCTTGTCTCTCTTGTCTTTAACTCTCAGTTCTTGTCCCTTCAGTGTTTGGTGCTGTTTGGGTCACTGTTCTCACTGCTGCTTTTTGCTGGAGAAGGGACACTGCTAGCCAGAGCTGCTGGGAGGGCTTCCTTTTTTCTGTGTGACTGTGTCTTTTCTTCATTGTTGAAAGCATAAGAAGTATGAAGTTATTCACTTACTGCAATTAGTTTAAAGCATATCTTGTTATTGCAGTAGTCACTTGATATCTACCTGAATTATATTCAGCTGAATGTAATGAGTGAAGACACCTCAGGCACTTCAAGGTGAATTCTGATAGCTGAACTCATTGTAAAAGAAAATCTGTGCACACTGAGCTCGGTTTAAAAGTAAATGTTTTTCTTTCCATTGCTGGGTAGATTGTAGAGCGAGGTGGTTTTTCAAAGTTATTCTGCTTTGGCTGCAGAGAGTTGCAATTTTCCRTAAAGGTTCATTTGTGGAATGGATTGAGCCAGTGTAAGGTAAATATTTGTAGCGCAGCTACTTTCAGGTGCTTTCAGTGGGATGCATCTCTGTCAAATACCCCGGGGCYGTGGTTTCTTTTGGTGCCATAATCTGCAGTTTTGCTGGAGAGATGTGAACTGGTTATGTCAGCACAGAGTAGCTCTTCCCTGGCATGAGCTGCTTTAATTATTCATAGTACACAGCGAGGTGTTAAAGGTCTGTCATGCTGTGCAAAAGTTACAGTGTACCCTGGAAAAATACTGAAGGATTATTCTTTGACAACCCTTTGCACATGAAAGGGGGAAAATCACACAAACTCTCATTAGAAGATTGGGTTTTTTTGTATATGCTGGACCTTGTATGGCCTTTGACAAGGATCTTGAGGAAGAGGGGGATATTGATAGTTTTTAAATGGATGAAGATTAATTGCTCAGTGACTAAACCTTTGTTTTTTGAAGGTAGTTGAAATATGTGTGGTGAAATAAATGAGTTTGTTYGTGTCTGAGTATGTCCCAGTAGGGAACTGGATGGAATCTGATTTGGGTTCTTGTTTCAGCTTTACTGAAAACTGATGGCTTCATCTTGAACACCCCTGTTGTTTGGCTGTCTTGATTTCCCCTCTGCCCATTGTTTTGCTCATAGCTTAAATAGACTTCTCAAAACAAGTACTGCTGCTGCATGAAATAGTTCATTAATTTATTTACATTACAAGAGCACCTGAAGGCACCCTTCTAAAATTAACTTCTGTTTAGTTAACTGGACTTGGGTTTGTTCTTTGAAAATACAATAATCCTAACAAATCATCCCACCCACCTAATAAAGTAAGATGAAGCACATAATAGGAAACAATTGAAAACTTTTTAATGGGGCCAAATGGAAAAACAATGAGAAGTAATCAGTAAGTAAGGTATTGTGTGGTTAGAGAATGTGAAGGGAAGGGTTCAAGGATGAGGCATGTGTGTTTGCTGGAAAAGCTACTTAGGGAAAGTGTCTTCCTTAAGAAAATGTAGTMAGCTGCTTTTAGTCTCTCTATCTCTCTCTAATTTTTCATCTTTTTATTAATTTTTTCTGAAGCCACACAATTAGCTGCACACAGTGATCTACAGATCTGAAACATCTGTTCCATTTTTTCTTAAGAGTGCTTGTTGGACTTTGAGCATGAAATGTGGTGTCATGCTCCATGAGTGCATGCAGAGTCAGGTACTCTCCAAAAGTACAGAAAGGAGGTTTCTTCTGCCCAGTCTTGAGTGGAAAAATCTCYCTTGGTGAGCAAGTTTTTGGTGTCAGAGGGGCAGCACAGCAAGTTGAGGCTCAGCTGGTTGTTAAGAGACTTTTACCTGCATCCTGGTSACTGGAGGGCTTCCTCTAGGAAGAGATTTGGTGATAGCTCTGATTCTTGGCCCTGAGATCTGGCCCAACATTATGGACTGTAAATATCATGAGATTGTTCCTGGATTTATTTTTTTTTTTTTTTGTATTTTTGTGCCTGCCCTTCTCTTCCCTTCCAGAGTAGTTAAGCTTTTCCAGTCTGGCGTTTCTCAGATAAGTCCAGTTCTCATTTGAGCAGGTATTCAGGCTTTCAGCACACTGCTGCCTGCCTTTGGTTTGCCCTCTGCCAAGGGGCAGCCAGAACTCTGTGTGGTGCCTTTTCAGGTGCCTGTGTAATTAGCTTCTACTCTGTGTAGTATCTGTAGAGACAAATTCTACCCAGTTTGAGCACCTTTGTTTCCAAAGCTCAAACTGAGGTTAATCAGAATTAGCTTGTTATGCTGGTTTGGAATGGAATGATAAAATTCTCACGTGTCTGCCTCCAAAACTATAACCTGTCTGYAATTCATTGAAAGGTTCTTCAGCTGTGGGGAGACTCACAAACTAATAATTCATGTTAACTAATTGCAGCAGGACTTTCCTGCTTACAGACTTCCTCTTAGGTAAATTTACATAAATATATTTGTGCAGCAGTGGTGTGGAGCAGATCAGAGTGACTYTTGGTCAGGGATGTGGTGAGCTGTGTTCAGGGCTCCTCAGTCCATCATGTGCCATTGTGCTGCACTCAGAGGACTCTGCTGAGACAGTTGAATGCAGCTTGAGTCTCAGAATAAGCAGTTTCAATAAGGGGCTGACTTGGACTGAAATTTGGTTTATGCTGTAACACTTGTGCCCCTGTGCTTTGGTGCTGGAACTCTGAACTGCACAGTGAAAGTTTTCACATGTAGAGCTGATCCTCTCAATTTGTGCCTCCTGAAGAGGGAAGCAATGCTGCTGATTCCCCCAGGGGAGCAAAGRAGGCTGAGTTTGGTGAGAAGGGTCTGCTCTCCCATCTGGGAAAGCTGCTGAGCTGTGGAGGGCCTGTGCTGCTCCTCATGTGAGTGCTCAGAGAGCAGGGTCCCAGGGGACTCAGACACAGCTATGGAAAGAGGCAGCTGAGCAAAAACATGTGTATGTGAGTGAAAGTACCACTCCAGAGTTTCCAGGCATTTAGAAACGTTTAGGGCTTTTAAAACAACAGCTTTGGTCTGAACTAGGTTTTATGTGTCAGTCAAATTTTCCTAATCCATATAGAGGATTCAGGTTTGGGGAAAAACCATGTGGGGACTGGCATGTGTGATAAGACCTTGTTTCATGGTTGTCTTTCTGCATTCACTCCCCTCTTTGTGCTGAAGAAGTGAATGTTCCTACTTGTTCCCTAAGAAGTAAATCTCATGTAAAAGGTAAGTATTCAGCAAGGCAGCTTTTTGATCACCTGTCTTCTCCCTGGATGTACTAAGAGCTGTAAAAATGAGATGTTTTTGTGTTTCTGTTAGTACAGTAGAGCAGGGGARCCTTGCCAGAGATTTCTTGTTTGTTGTGTTTTCCTTCTAGATCAGATCCAGAGGTGTTGACTGGGRCTGCAGTTGTGCTCTCCCTGCACAAACCAGACATACCTCTGTCTGTCACCTTCTCTCAGAGCTTCCTGGTTTTACAGCAGAGCTGGGAATGGAAGGGAGGCCAAATTGAGCCAGCTCAACTGAACATGGGAAAACAAACATGGAAAAGAATGTGCTAGAGAATGAAAAAAGAGAATTGCTCTGCAGACCCAAAGGATGCTTTGCTAGGTAGCAGCTGTCTGGCATTCACAGATTAAACAGTGCTCAGCTAACATGCAGTGACAGTGATAGCATGTCCTCTGCTTTGCTTGGAGTGCATCAAATGAGGAATTAACTCTCCCATGCTGAAAGTCAGAAAAGCATCCGGAAGTCTGTATTTACTCATAACAAATGTGAATTTGTCTGTTGTTTTCAGTATCTGTTCTATGCTTTATATGGCAGTGCAGAGTTAATGGTGTTAATGCGACTTTATAAGTCAAAAAAGTGAAGTAGTTTTTTTATAAAATGACTCTTTGAACAAATGGAGGGTTTTATTAAATACACAGTTGGTCCTCAGTGATTTGGTGCATTTCATGGTTTTCACAGCCTCTTCCAAATGCTTTTTGTCTTCCAGCATTCTATGTGGAAGCCAGGGAGCCTGAAGGAAGCTGTGAAGCTAGTGGAATGATTCCCTGTGTAGCTGAAACTRTGTAAGTATGAGATGTTTGCTTACAAGATCACTTGTCCAGCACAATTTTTAGAGCAGTGATTGTCTCTGCCTCAGCACTGATCCTCTCGTGCTCCCCAAAGGGAAGCTCAGTGTGTGTGTTCAGAGCTGGGAACACACACAGCATCCATGCTGCTGTTCCCTATTTTCAAAATCAAAAAGTCATGCATCCCTGTCCYCTAAAAGGTACATAAAGCATAGTGGAATTCTGTAAAATCCTTACAGACTATGCTTAAGTGTTTGTGAAAAGCTGAGGCTGGGTTGAGGCTTAGTTAAGCTCTAGCAATGTTTTCTTTGCCTTAGCTAGTGAAATGCTACTTGGAAAGGGATTTAATGGTTGGCTGAGCTGTCTCCCCTTTTGTTATGAGATTTCCTAAATTTGTCTTTGTGGTTTTCTTGAATGTATGGAAAGTTTTTTTCCTCTACTCTCTTGATACTTCCTGTGTTTTGAAGCTCATTATAAATACCTTGTGATGCAACACTTTATTAAACAGCATGATGCTTGTTTTGCTTGCTATTCTCTGGACATATCCAATAATTTCTATTACTACAATAACATCAGTCATGAAGGAAAAATACAGGGTTACTTAAATATCTCCTTTACATCTTCTCTGCTCCTGCCAGCTCTCCCTGACCTCAGTGCTGCTGTTTTTAATTGTGCCATGGTGTGCTGTATGATTGAGAGTTTTGCTCCCTTCAAATTTTGGGTTATGTGTGGTCYGGTCACTTGAAAATGGGAAAAACAATGCTCCAAATTCCTTATAGCACTTGGAAAAAATCCCACACAAACCCCCCACCAAATCAAAAAGCCCCATCACGCATTAGCCAAGGCCTTTGTATTCTTCTCTAGGTTTTTATTGAATGTGTGGGGCCGTGTGGCTCTGCACATCCTTTGTGGTTAGAGGGTGACTTTTCTTAGCTGGCTGTACTCAGCAGCACTCATCTCCTGTGTTCCCAGCTGCTGACTCCTTTCTGAAAGGTGCAGAGCTGTGGATCTCTGCTTTGCAGTTCCTGTGATGTGGAAGATGGCCTCACAGGCAGCTTGGTGATTCATATGTACTGGAGATCATTGCTCAATATTTTTCTGAGTAATAGATTTCTTTGGGAGCRCTGCATCCTGGAGCGCTGAGCACATTCCAACCTTAGCCCTGAATTTTGATCCTTTTTAGTAGAATGGCAAAAGTAGCAGTCACTGCTGCCTTTTATGTCTTGCTGTACAAGCCTCTTAGTAATTTTGCTCTTGGGAGCTGATCCTTCTGGGAATTGGTGCTTTGCCACCACTCCAGTGTAACCTTTGGGCACAGGAGAACTTTATACTTGGAGTTGTTGCTGCAGCAGGCAGAAATGTCCCTGTAAGTCCTGGTTTGCTCTGCAGCCAAAGCTCWGCTCTGCTCACCTTGGAGAGAGTGCTGCTCTCCCCAGTCCCTGAACTCTGGATCACTGCAGCTCCTGCTGCAATCAGATCCTCTCCCCAGCCTTCCTTAACAAAAGGGCCGCTTCTCCCACTTGTTCTGTCTCCTTCCGAGGCTCCTGTTCCTTCCATGCCTTGAAACCTGACTCATGGAGGAAGCGGAGGTGACTGCTTAGTGARGTGGATCCAGCTCAGCCAAGGCCATTTACAAAAGGGTAACTGATGGAGTGCCAAAAGGCTTCTCTTACAAAACCAGATACATGCACAAGCTGCCAGCGGATGCAGGCTGGAGATTTTTTTTTTTTTTCCCCAAGCTTGTTTTGCTATTTTTGGGGTAGAATGCTTCTAAGTATCTGGCACATGGCATCAAGTTTCATGTAGAAGAAAAGCGAGGAATTGCAGCAATTGTACATCAGTATCTGCTGGTGTTTGTTGATGAGGAGTAGGATTGTGCTCTGRAAAGAGGGAGGAGGAAGGAGAGCTCTGTTCCTGCAGGGAGGAGCAGTGCCCAGCAGTGGCTGTTCAGGAGCAGCACTCAGCTCTGTGCAAGGCAAGTGGCACTACAGAAAATGTGTTTGTTAGAAAATGTGTTTGTTAGAGGGTGTGATGGGAGGGAGGTGGTTAACATGCTCTCCAGGGATTAATGCTGCCAGATTTGCTTGGTTTTACAAACTGCTCGTGGRACACTTCCTTACATACAGGTGTGTAATAATGCTGGCAGATCTCTCTATGTATTGTGATGCTTTTTTTGTGACAAATGACTTTAAAAGCCATCAGTTTCATCCCTCTGAACATTAGATCATCACAACATCACAAGCTGAGCTTTAGATTGATACCATCATTAATACAAGCTGTTGCATAGGAAGCGTGACAGCACGAGTCACTTGTATTAGGGAAATTATGGACACAGTATGTCAGTCTTGCAAACTGCCTTTTTTAAAAAACAAACCTTTAAATTGGGATTCCTCGGGTGAATTGGATTAATGTGTCAATTATGATGTGTGTGATTTGGCTGCTTTAGAGGAAAGTACTGTCTGCTAATAGGCAGCCATTCCTGAACTTCCCATAGGGGAAAAGCTGTTCCAAATCACTAGTAGCTGATAAATTCTGTTACATCTTTGAGCAGAAAGTTTTCTGTACTTCCTAAACTCTGCTTTAAACTCTAATACTAGACTGTACACAGGATTTTTTTATTCTGTTCTTTTACCTGCATGCTTTTCTCTAAAAAATTTGTCCAKTGTGGTGCTAGCTGCYTCTGAGAAACTGATGGAARAACAATAATTAGTGTAGATTGAGCATTTGAGTTCTGATGAATTTAAMGATGAGGAGGGGGGGAAAGCTGCTATGTGGGAGTTAATCACCACGCMGTTTTTACTCTGCCTACTAATATCCTGTTTGTTTTGGTGTAATGAAATAATGACTGGTGTAGACTGGAGAGGATGATGCTGCTCAGGCACCTGGCAGTGCAGAAATCAGTGCCAGGCTGTGCTTTGCAATTCACAGAGCTGTGAAGTACTGAGGACCACTGAAATTGTCTTTTGGATTTTTATGAATCCTTTAGAATACAAATTATTATGCATTTTTTGAATACATTAAATCATTTGTTTGCCTATAAAAATGATGCWGAAAACTTCATCTTTAAAGCAGTGTGATGCAAGAATATAGGTTTGTTCTTTTGGCTGCTTCAAAATAGGTATTTGTTAGTTTTGTGTGGGTTATGCTGAAGAAAAGGGATTGGGAAGGGGAAGGGAAGCCAGGTACTCAAACATCTTGGCTCTTGTAGTTGCACTGGCAAATTTTTTTTTGCTTATGAAGCTGCACACATGCTGTTYTGTCAAAACAGGTATAATGGCTGAGAGAAGATTTATGTTTGTAATCCTAATATCTGAGAATTTATCTGTATTTGTTGCTGCTGTTGGCTTACAGCTTAAAAGAGGGGTTCAGTCTCAGTAAAGCTTTGCCCAAGAAAGAATACAGGAAAACTGCCATGACAGCTATTGTATTTCTTATTTTTTTAATTTTTATTTCTCTTCTTTCTTGTTCTGCTTCTAAACTGGAAGCTGTACACAAAGTCAAGACAAGCCCAGTTTTTATGTTTGAAACTTTTGCCTAACTGCCAGCAGAGGTGAAGTGCAAATAAGTGGGTAAAGGAGGAATATGATAAGCAATTGCTTTCTTGGAGCTGCCATTTCTGAGAAATGGAGTGTCCATGGTGTGGCTGCTCTCTGATAGGGCACTGTCAGTGTTAGTTTGGTTTTAGCAGGGACTATTGGAGAGCCCTTTTCTGGGGGTAAAATATCTTTTCCAAATATGCAGGGCTTTGTGATTTATAAAAAGAGAGTATGATGAAATAATTTTGGCATTTTAATTTTTATTTTAAAATAACCCTCTCTGAACTGGAATTACTACTTCTTATCTGCATGTGTGTCTGTCTGAAGCAGTTYCATTAAGAAGGGCCCCCTCCCTTGTCTGTCTCCTTACCTGAAGGGAGGAGCCCACTTGAAACAATGAACAATTCCTCAACACCCTCTTGCATTAAAAGTGTTGCCTCCTTTCTGCAAACACTGTGAATGTTTTGAATACAAAAACCTAGATTCCAGGCTGTTTAAAAACAAACACACAACTTCCACTGTCTCGCCTCCTCCCAAAAACCAGCCAAGAGCCCCTCATTTCCCCCTCATTTCTTTTGCTGATTTGCTGAAGGTGCAGTCTAACCCAATGCTTAGGTTTCTCCCAGCTTGTCCCATTTGTGTCCCCATCCTTCCTTCCCCACTTTGTTTCAGTGCTTTATATTCCATATATAAATTGCGAGTATGCTTTTAAAAACTATGTCCTTTAAAATATTTCTGGGTTAGAGTAGTCTGTCTTGATGAAGCCTGTACATGAATCAACCTCTTTGTAACCTATGCTGCAGTAAGAATTTTAGGAATTTCCTTTATTAGGACCCGTTAGTATACTGCAGCCACTGAGTGAGCTGCATTGATTTCTAGGTAAAACAGCCTGAAATTTATGGCATATGCCAGCCTTGTGTACACTGCTYCTTTTCAGTTCTCAAAACTGAAATATCCTGAAGTCAGTCACTTAATGGCAAGTGTTATTCCACATTTGATACTTCAGCTATTCTTTGTGGAGAGGCAGCAATCTGACTGTGAACTGTTTTGCAGGTTAGCTGAGTGCTGCYAATGGCATGGTGAGATGTGCTGAAGAGCAGCTGCGAGGGTGTTCAAGGGCAGGGGACGGCGCTAGAGCTGGGCTGCCAGCACCATGGGCCAGTGTGTCACCAAGTGCAAGAACCCTTCTTCCACCCTGGGCAGCAAAAACGGGGAAAGAGACTCTGGCAGCAAATCCCACAGCAAGAGAAGTGCAGTGCACAAAGACGACCATGGCTCGGCTTGCGGGAAGCTTTCGGGAGACATTCTTGTCAATGGGACAAAGAAAACAGATGCTGCTGTAGAGTCCAGCCAGCCCCCCACCTTTGCTGGAGATACAAAGAAAGACTCTGTGTGCAGTGCAGAGGAATCTTCTCTTCAAAAGATTGGGGAGTTGTTCAGGAGGTACAAGGACGAGCGGGAAGATGCCATACTGGAAGAAGGAATGGAACGATTTTGCAATGACCTCTGTGTTGATCCCACTGAATTTAAAGTACTAGTTTTGGCTTGGAAATTCCAGGCTGCTACCATGTGCAAATTTACAAGGTTAGTTCTTGCAGAACTTGTAATTATTTTCATATGTTAAAGTATATCCTGTCAGCACTGTGTTGGAGAGACAGCCTCAGTAGCTTCACTCACTTTTTCTTCTAACACTTGCATTTTGATCAAATTCATTCCTCCCATTGCAGAAGGTAAGCTTTGTATCCTCTTCTTTTCCCCTTCCACTCACAGTGGCTTTCAGAAGATATGGTTTTGGCCATTATGCTGCTGGTGATGAGCAGTGCAGTGAGCTGCTGCAGATGTTATTTATTCTTGATTTGCCAAAAGCAATTTACTATATCCAGTGTCTTGGTGATGAAATTGGACACTGAAATTTATTTTTCCTTTAAAGTAATTTGAGGTTCTCTAGTAATTGCTGCTAACTCTGTTAACAGTCTGAAAGAATGACAGAATTATTCCTGTCCATTTAGTGTAACACTTAATGTCTTTTTGCAAGAGTAATCCTGTTAAAGCATAGAGAGAGAAGGAAATGTGAGGGTTTTGACACTGGTAGCTGTTTCATCAATCAGCTGTGGCTGACAGGATTGCTGTTCAGAGTGCTGTCTGCCCTTCTGCACACGGGCTCAGTCACAGGCTGACAGCACGTGTGATGCTGCAGGAAACAATGGAACTGCAAACACTGACCCCACAAAGCCCTCAAACAAACCCAAAAGCAACAGCTYGAATAGCCATGTCCAGGTAAGAGCAAGTAAACACTGCCTGCAAGGACTTGCTGGGAGAGAAGGAATTTTTTGGTTTTTTTGGTCTATCTAGCTTGGTTTGAGTAATGCTGCCTATTTTTACTGAGCTTATAACTTTCARAATTACTTTGGTGTTGAGAGCCTTGACCCAAGCCTCTGCTGTGCACTGAACAGCATCTTCAGAGTGTCTKTGTGGCTGTGGGTGTGTGTCAAAAGGATGAGTTACTCTGCAATGCAAATGTGGATTTTCTGGAGGCTGACAACACAGGTATTTGCTAGGATGGTAAAGGAATTGTAAGCAGTGTCTGTGATTCTGCACAGCTCCCATGGGTTTTGTGAACAGGATTATTTTAATTTCCTTGCAGAGGGCAAATGCAGTGGTGAGAGGTTTCATTTAAGGGTGCACTCCATGGTACAGGTGCTGATGGACTTTTCCATGCAGGAAAGCAGCACAGTGTGTTCTGAGCACTGCTCCATCCCTGTCCTCCCTCCAGCCCATCCTCTGGCTGAACTTCTGGCTGATGTTAAACCTGCTCAGGAGCACAGAGACAGTGGAGTTAAACTTCTCCCCACGTGGCCAGTTGGTACTGACCCTTGCAAACAGCTCATCCAGAGCAGGGGCATTGAGACATGGGCACAACTGAACCAAGCTGGGCTAAATGTGTTCATTTCAAACATTTGAATTTTTTCTGTGGTAAATTAGATTCTCATTTTRATGTGAAAGGCATTGCAGAGTGTGGAGGTGTTCAGTACTCAGAAAGCAGAACCTGTGAAATGCTCACAATGCCCAGCAGACCTGGGGTTCTGTGTGGTTCCCCAGGCCTCAGTGAATTCCCTGGTCCTGGCTCTGTTTCCATTGCCAAAATCTGAACAAGATGAGGGTGCACCTGATCTTGTCCAGATGGTCGTGGTGGATTCCATGGGGCTGAACAGAGCTGGGAAATGCGAGGTCGCTGGGAAGGGCTCTCTCTGATTTCTCTCCTTTTGTTTGACAGGAAGGAGTTTTTTGAAGGCTGCAAAGCAATAAACGCAGACAGCATCGATGGCATTTGTGCAAGGTTCCCCAGCCTCCTGAACGAAGCCAAGCAGGAGGATAAATTCAAGGATCTCTATCGTTTCACCTTTCAGTTTGGCCTGGACTCTGAAGAGGGACAGCGGTCGCTGCATCGGGAAATAGCCATTGCCCTTTGGAAATTAGTCTTCACCCAAAACAAGCCCCCCATTTTGGACCAGTGGTTACACTTCCTAATCAAGAACCCCTCAGGAATCAAGGGAATCTCCCGGGACACGTGGAACATGTTTCTAAATTTTACTCAGGTGATTGGACCGGACCTCAGCAACTACAGCGAGGACGAGGCGTGGCCGAGTCTGTTTGACACCTTTGTGGAGTGGGAAATGGAGCGAAGGAAAAAGGAAGAGGAGACCCAAAGTGTTCTGTGCTCGGACACAGAGGGGCTGTGTGGGGATGAGCAGACTTAGCAAACAGCACTGACAAAAACAACTCATTGCCCTTCACGAAATGTAAACTCTGGATGTTTCTGGAAATTACCGAGGCTCCAGATTTTTCTACTTTACACCTTTTTCTGCCTTGTCTTTGAAAGGGCTCTAAAATGCTGTATCATGTTTTAGGCACTTTCTTAATTTTGGTTATTCCTCTTATTCTTGCCCTGAAATATTTGACCCTGGCTACCAGTTAYGCGTTTTTTGGGTTTGTTTTTTTTTTTTTTTAAGACTTCAGATTAGTATAAATAAGTCTGATACTTCTTGCACAATGTAGATCTTTTTAGTTAGGTTAAATTAACATTGCTAAATTATACAGTGCCAGATTAAGTTTTTCATACTACATCTGTCAGGGCAGGTCTGTACTGTGTGTAGTGCTGTTTACATTGTTGAAATTTTAGGCTGTAATAATTTTAAGGTTTTATACCAAGATGAACAGCAGTGTTAACTATAAATGCATTAATCCTGGGTAATAAGTCTCTGAAAACCAACATAAGCAACAGCTTTTTGTAATATGGCTAATTCCCATTTGGAGCTAACTCCTAGTGAATGAGTCCAGATCATTCCTTTTTTTGGACTTTCAAACTCAATGTTGGGATTGTTTTATAAAATTACTGTACCTGTCAGTCAACTGAGTGGTAGATGACGATTTGTATCTAAATCTCTTTACACATTCATGTAATAAAAGAGCAGTACTACCTCAGTTTTATTGAAAGTGGACTTGTTGATGGACTTCCATTTTCTCTGGAAGTTGTATTTTTGTGGTTWCATGAGAATATTTTTACTTGACTAAAAGAACCAAAGGTTCTGCTTCTTAAGTTTGCTAAACATTGACAGAAGCAACACATAAATCCTAAGTCTTCAAGGAAAACTGTGGTATAATTCTGCTTTAATTTGTTTGATTTATACCTRAAGTATTACCTTACTTGTCTGGCAAGCACAGTACTTCTATGTAAGGAACTACCTTTTGCATTAATATTGACAAACCAATTTTTTAAAGCCTATGTTTAATTGCTAAATTGCAGTTAATACTCCACACTTTCTGGAGCAACAATATCGGCATCTGATGACAAAGTGAATTCTTCATGTGTTCTTAATGACAACAGTGTAGATGAGTCATTTTTAGACTGATTTGATAATATTTGGATAGGAGTCAATTTATTATTTTACAATGCCTGTATTGGGACTATTTGCCTGTTAAAATTGTTGTGACTTAAAGGGAGTTTTATTAACACTGGTTGAAACTTTTTTGGTTATTGATGCTACCTTTTTTAATTTTAGTATGTCAACTTTTTTACACCTTTTGGTAAAAGGATTGATTGCCAAGGCTTTCTCTGTAGCCAAGTGCTGGCTTATTGAATTTGATATACTTTTGTTACACACCTTTTATTTGAAGAGCTGCATTTCAGCATCATAAACCAACTTTAACTGAAAAAGAACCAAAACCAAAACAAAAAAAGGCCTGGGCAGTCATCCATAGCATCTAATGGCTGCTGTGATAGAAGGATTTTAGAGCTAAAGGGAACAGGTTTTAAGAGGTGAGTTTGTGTCCAGGATGCCATGCTTTGAACGAGAGAGGAGCAGGATCTGCCCAAATTCTGGGATGGCTTTGTGGTGTGCAGCCTCTGCAGTAGCTTGGCTTGAAGGGCATAAATCACTACCAAAATGTGGGTAATGCAAACTGTTTAAAAACAAACCCACAAGCCACAGATACCATCTCTTTCATCTAATAAAAGAAGAGTACGGTCCATGCTGCTCTTGCTTGCAGAAAAGCTGTGGAAAACAAATGTGGYTGTTTTAGGTGCAGCTGGATCTGTCCCTTTGCAGGAGGAGAGCCCTCAATTTGCTGTTTTATGGGTAAATGCACCCAAAGCTTTGTCCTTGCTGCCCTAACCTTCCATGGCACTAAAGWGTTCAGCATAAAACCCTTTTCTGGTTCGGTGAGCAAAGCAGGCCAAAGCACTGGTGCTGGAATTGTTGGATTTGTGGTGAGACTTTTGCTGGTGCTGTTATTTTTCAAAGACTAAAATAAGTTCCCCAACAGAGGCTGCTTTGTTAGGAAAAGTTCCAAATGGAGACTGATTTGATAGTAAATGAAGACTGTATTTGTAAGTTTGAGACTCTTSGTTCATTCAGCTATTAAATATTTTGTTCATCACTTTTTTTTTCCCCAAAGGAAGTTTTAAATGTCCAGAGTGTGAAGAGTAACTATTCCAAAGGGTAGGCAGTGCATGCATGCACAGCAGATGGTGGCAGYTTCTCATTTGCACCCCACCAAACAGCAGCTCCAAAGGATGAGGGCTGGAGATCTTKGAGGAAGGTTTATCTTGTGTTTGGATGTGACAGCAGGAGGAAATCAATCTGTGGCATATCAGGCTCATTGGGATGTGTCAGCTGCAGCACAGCTTTTTAAAGGCAGAGGTGAACACACAGGAAAGGAAAATCTGCTTTGCTGTGGGAAAGGCTGTGAAATTCCTGGTGGCTGTGGCCCCACAATGTGTTCAGTGTGGGACAGCTCTGCTCCTGTTCTGCTGCTTCAGCCAGGCAGAGCAACTCCACCTCAGGCAGGGAACTTGCAGAAATAGCCAAATGATCTGTCTAGCAAAGTATCACTYATTTGTAGCCTAATTTCAATCCTTTAATTGCCATTTGCAGAATGCAGAGCAGACTGTGTCAGGTTTGCAGTGGAGAAGCAGAAGCTGAGGTGCAGCTCTGGGGCAGTGAGCGAGGCCATCCCACCTTCCCTTGGAGTGCTGCTGATCTGGGGTGAGGCARAGGCTTTGTGGTGATTCTGAGAAAYCCTGATTAATATTGGAGCCTGGCAAAATATACTTGTTTAATGGTTAAACTGTGAAAATCTGTGCAACAGGCCAAATGCATTCACTCTGCATTTTTATATAATTTAAATCTTCATTGTGTAGGGCACGGGACTGTAAGTGAGCACTGATGCTGATGAAATCCTTGAAACCATTGCAACTGTTTAATTTTTTTTTAAATTAGATTATGCATTAGGAAACTTTATGCATGTAGTAAATCTGCTGCAACTTGGGATAAATAACTATAGATAACTATGTAGATAGAGTAATATACTGGAAAASTGGTCTGATGTCCACAATCTGTGGCATTTTACTGCCTTCTCTTATATGCAAAGAAATACAACTCCTGTAAACTTTAGTCCCTAGTAATAAAACACTGACACCTGCACCATATTACAGTTTGCAACACCTTTAAAATTTGGTTTCCAGATCAACTGGAGGCTTTATTGTGCTAATTTTTACTTGCATGAGTGCATTTCTGAGGTCAAAGACTATCTATTGATTCAAGTAAGGGTTTGAAAGGTCCTGCCCATAGCTGGCTGTGAAACATGACCGAGGAAATGAGCTGGAATTGAACACCAAATTGTGAGTTTAYTTGCTGCTGGTGCTATTCTACATGGAGAATTACAGCTTTTAGTACTGTGCAATGCACAGGAAAATGCCTGAAGCTGTGGCAGTTGGGAGCTGCTCCCCCAGGCTGGCCCAGCAGATCTGGATCAGCCTCTGAAGCAGAACAGCTTCTCAGCCAAGTTAGAGCAGGTTCAGAGCTGAGCTGAGCTTTGCTGAGGACTGAGAGGCTCAGGGGATGCAGCCCCTCCTGCCATACTGGGGCTGGGGCAGCAGCAGCTTCACTGCCTGATTTGTATTTCAGTCCCTCTGTGTCCTTCAGAGCCTGAAGAACCCATGGTTCCAGACCTATGCACTGACCAGTGACCTTAAACTTTTTGTGACACTGTCAACATAATATTGTACCTACAGTTCTAAGCCTTGTTTCAAAAAAAAAGCCCAACAAAGTTATAGAAACACCATGTAGTTAATAGGTGCCTCAATTGTGATATTGTTTGGCTGAGGTTACATCGTTCCCATTCTTCAGTAAATAACAGTCATTGTGAGTTTTTGGGTCTTGCAGCCTTGTGTTCTGCAGTGTGATCCTTTTTTAGAAGGTAAATTGGGCACCTGGTTCTTCCCTTGAGCCCACTCTGCTCAAAGTGTGTGCATGTGAATTTAGCCTTTCATATTAAAACTTAACCTGAAACTCAAAATTCTTCAGGGTAGTGCTTCAGTATAGAGAAAACCATATTTTTTCAAATAAGTATTAAAGCAAAGAGTCTTGCTCAGATTTTGTTGTGTGCAAACAAACCCACCAGTGTTAACATTTTCTCTCTGGACTAGTGAAGATTGAACCTTTGGTTTTGTAGTGTGARCTGAAGTGAAATTCATGAGATTGTAAGACAGAAGGAAGGCTGCAACTCCTTCACCATGAATTACATAGGTRTGTCTACCTCTTGTTCTTAGACTTGAATGGTTTAAGGCTACCATCCTTTAAGCCTGGGTGAGTAATCTATTTTTTTTTTAATTGACCCAAGTTAAGTATTATCTCTTTGCCATGGTTGTTGGTATCCTGTGTTTAACCTGTATGCAAAGGACCCTTTGGAAGGGTCGGGTCAAGCTGCAAACAAGAGTTGGTTTTTCTGGGTGCTGTTTCTGGAGTGCAGTAGAGACAGAGCAGAGCTGCAGGGGCTGCAGGCACCACACACACACATCCTCCTCTCTCAGTGCCTGCACTGGCAGGGATGGGAGATGGAGCAGAGCTGCAGTGGTTCCTGACACCACACACACACATCCCCTCCTCTCTCACTGCCTGCGCTGCCAGGGATGGGAGATGGAGCAGAGCTGCAGTGATTCCTGACACCACACAAACACATCCTCCTCTCTCAGTGCCTGCACTGCCAGGGATTGGAGATGGAGCAGAGCTGCAGTGATTCCTGGCACCACACACACACATCCCCTCCCCTCTCACTGCCTGCACTGCCAGGGATGGGAGATGGAGCAGAACTGCAGTGGTTCCTGACACCACACACACACATCCCCTCCTCTCTCAGTGCCTGCACTGCCAGGGATGGGAGATGGAGCAGCTGCTCCCAACAGGAGCCATCAGCCTTTTCATTTGCCCTTGAAAAGCTTTAGGAACCCACCTGATGCAGTGCYATGAGTGTATTTTTCTTTCAATGTTTCTTTATAATACTGTGTTTTGTTCCGTGTTGGACTGGACCTGTWACAGCCAGCAAAGATGGAGCTGCACAAGTGTAAAGGCAACACTGATCCCTTTTCCTGCCTGAGGTCAGAACTCTGCTCAGGATAGAACCCTGGTGCTTTGGCAAAGCTGGAGTGTTCCCAAGGGAACTGGAGGTGCTGGAGTGGCTTTGGTGCTGAGCTCTGTTCATTAATTGGGGTTGTTCCTTTCTGTGCAGTACCTGTGTCCCTCCTTTCCTCCCCAAAGCAAACTGTGACACAGCAAAGCCCCGTAGTGTGGTGCTGGAGCAGCTATTGCTGCAGCATTCTGCAGTGTGAGGGCTGCTTTGGGCTGGGAGCTCGTGCACTGTCAGGAGCAGCACGGATTTCAGGAGAACAGGGGACACTCAGACAATTGGTAAAGCAGCGTGTACCTTCTTGTCCTAACAGCCTGCCTTAAATCACTGACATTGCAGCCGTTCCTTGCTACTACTGCAATCCTCAGTCTTTGAAAACCCAACAGGTTCTGTAGGTAATAATGTTTTTTGTTTAATTTTTAATAAGTTTCTATCTTTGCATAATTGCACTCTTCAGATACACCCTTTTTGGATAATGTCATTTCACACGCAGGAAAAAAGATCCATCTCTGGTGTTTGTGCTGTAAAGAGTTTCTTTTTTGCCCTTGTCAATGATATCTGGACTAAAGGTTGCCTGCTGTTGAACCAGCGTGTTTACTTGAATGTTGCATTTGATGCAGTTRCAGCTGCTGCCTCTTGCTGTTCTCTGGGCCCATGGAGTGTGACCAGRGGTGACAAACCTGCACAGAGATCAGAGGAGCCCATGGTGATKAAATGTTACAGGACTTCACAGATTGCTGCTCCATATTTTGAAGTAGTGACTTTTTAAGTCACGCTAAACRTAGTTATTTAAAAACACACTTGCTTTTTTACCTGCAAGTTTGAAATAGTTTTTAACAGAGCTGGGCTGGCGAGGGGGTTGGAGGGCCTGGTGCTGTTAGTGTTGAGTAACTCCAGTTCCAGGAGCTGTGGTGGGACTGGCAGATTCTGCTCTGAGCCAGAGCTCTGGGGTTTGCACTGCCTGCTCTYGAGAGCATGAGACAAGGCTTGGATGGGCTGTGTGGGGGTCAGCCTGGAAGGAAGGAAGGAAGGAACACATTTTGGTGGTGTTTGCTCCCCCAGGAGTAACTCAGTGTCACTGAGGAAGAACCAGGAGCAGCTTTGTGTGGCTGTCCCTGTGCCTCGGCTGAGCACAGATCCTGATGGGCTGGGGGCTCTCAGAGTGGGCTCTCAGTGAGCAGGGAGGGTGGGCAGGGGCAGTTCTGCCTTCTTTGTGCCAGGGATGTGTTTTGCCTTTTCAGACTTCCCCAAGAGATAACTCTGTACGAATGAACCAGTTCTGACTCTGGGAAATGATGAATGTGTTGTGTCACGGAGCAGCCCCTGGTTCCTCTTTGGGCAGCAGCATCACAAGTGCTGTRTAAATGTAAGGCTTGAAAACAGCTGAAGTAAATTCTGTTTCATGTAGGGTATTTATTTGAAGGAGATGCAGCCAAATTTGAAACCTGATCTAGAGGAAAWGTGGGAGAATTTTAGGACAACGCATCTACCAAATCCCAGTTTATTGAACTGGTTTGTAGTTTTACAATTACTTTTCTTACATCAAACTTTGCTCGCCGTTGGTGTCTGGAACAGAATGGAAACAGCCTCTTCTGGAATGTGCAATCTAAGGCACAATGCAAGTAGGGTGTGATAAGAAGGTTGTCTTTACTTGATAGCAATCCTGAGTGCAATGTTTTTGTTGTGTCCCTTTTGGAAGAAGAGCATTAAGTGCAGTCTGAGGTTTTTCTTTTCTTATAAGCAAAACATTGGTTTGTCCATTACTGACTTCTTGTGAAATTTGTGCCAGATGTATATTAAATATTTTGGTGCTTTTTCTAATCCAAGCTGCCATTCATTTACCTGTGAGATTATTGTACTTCTGTATATTTAAATGACCAATCCCTTAAAGAAAAAAAAACAAAAAAAATCCTGTAGTCACAATGTATCCTGACTACTGTAGCTTGTAAATGTTCCAAAGCTTCTGGGTTTCCTGTATTCCAGTAAGGTCTGAGGGGAGGGAACAGCTGCAGAAATCTCACCCACTGGAAGGGGATCTCTCAGGCTGTTCTGTGTTACTGAACAAATGAGTAACATTTGTGGTGTTTACATAACGACACGTTGGTGTTCACTTTTTTGTGCTCAAGCTTTGTACAAAATGTCTTATTTAAAGCTGAAGTCCTTTTTACATTTTTCAATTAAAAAGGGACAAATTACTTATTTTTTCATGCCTATGAATAGGACTCTTGCTAGTTTTATTTGTCATATGAGTTTCTCAAGCAGGRCTCCTGGATGCTCACTAAATCCTTGCAGGGAGGTGATCCCATCATTTTTAAGTGAGGGGAATGAAAAGTAGCCAGTGTTTTTGGACTTTGCAGTGTAAGTGTCTGCAACAAGGAGATGCTGGATGAGAACAGCCTGGACAGGAATGAATCCTAAAAGAGAAGGCTGAGTGCTGGGGTTGGTGTGGCCCTCACAGCCTGAGCTCTGCCCCTGGTGTGTGCTCGCTGCTCCAGGACAGGCTCTGCTGCTGGAGGCACACTTGGAGGGGCCAAAATACATTTTTGTAAGAAAAAAAATCAGCTGCATTCATCTTGCTGAACAACAGATTCAGTTTTCAGGTGGCTTTAGATTTAGTCATTAATGGCACTGCCATGAGCATCTCCTGCCTGCTCACTGCTGCTTTGGGCTTGTGCTGAACTTGCCTTCCTCCTGCTTGTATTTGTGTCTGCTCCTCCACACAGCAATTCCCAACTCCCAAATGCCAGCGTGAGGAGAGAGCCCAGCACAGTGAACTTGGCCTTGGAAAGCAGGAGAGTGCAAATATTCTATTAGCTGTATTTAATGATTTCTGGAATGATAACTATTTCAGCTTTATCTCAGCCTATTGCAATTCACATTAAAAATAATCCCTTATCTCGTGGTCAAACTTTTTAACAAGCACTTCCTTTTAATTTTGCGTTTCTTTTCTGAGTGCCAGAAGCTTTCCTAAGCATCTTTGTGCATGGAGATTGTGTATGTCAACAGAGATGCTGAAGCAGCCTCTATTTTAGAGGGCAGTGGCTGCAAAGGMCAGGTCTCTCATCACCTCATTCTGCCTTCCAGCTCCTGTGCAAAGTGCACACAGCCATGGGCTTTCCTTAAAACATCCCTTGCCCCTCCCACAGCCACCCTGAAACGTTTTTTTCCTTTTCGTGTGTGTGTGTGTGTGTGTGAGGGGAGGGTGGGGATGGCCAGGGAGGGAGGAGAAAGTGGAGATTGTCCAAGAAATATGAATCACCAATTCCTCCTTTCCCTGGAGCAAGTACAGCACTTTCCCGGAGGCMGGAGCTGGCAGCGCCCATTTCCAGAACTGCACAGGAATTCCAGATTCCTGCCCCATTGCTGGGGTGGCTGTAACTGCTGAGCAGCTGCTGGGGCAGGGAAATGGCCCAGGTCCATCTGTCCAGAGAACACTGCCATCCCCAGGACCATCCCTGTGCTCCTGGGAGCTCTGTCCCAGTGCCCTGAGCTCTACCTCCTCACAGCAGGAAGGGTTAATGGAAAAGGTTTTGTGCTTCAAGAYATTCTGAATTGCTTTTATTTTTAGACTTTGTACAAAATACAGAGTGAAAGCCTATTGTTCATATGGTAAGAGATTTTTACAAAGACATCAATATTTAAAGTAATCAAAAATATCTTAACAAAAGACTWCACTTAAACTTGGCAGTTTAACAAGCACTCCTCCCTTCATCATCTTTTATTCCCATCAGCCCAAGGGCAGCCTGTGATCCWTGAGTGCTGCAACACAAACAAGAGGTGTGTTAGTGCTGCTCAGGGCTGCCCTCATGCACAGAACCCTGCTGGGCTGGGAGTGAGGGGCCTGCAACCCTCAGGGTCAGYACATTGCAAAACCAATTCCTTTTTGTGACCCACAGTTATCTTTTAATCAAGAAGCCTCCTCTGAACTGCTGGGAAACAGCAGTACAGGAACACAGGAACCTCACTTGGCAAAAAACKTCTTCCCAGCAGGAGCTGAGCTCCCATCCAACCCCCCCAGCAGCCTGAGAGTGCAAGCCAGGCTCTGGGGCTGCCACAGGACACAGATTCCTGAATGCACCTGTTCTGCTGGTGGGATTCCTGCCCTCGCTGATGGAAGCTCGTGCTGAGCAAAAAGGAAATTGGGATGCACTGAGCCCAGTGACTGCAGCTCAGCCATCCCACCTCAAACCCTGCTGGGGAGGAACAGGTGAGTGTGCAGGGTAACTGAGGCAAATGATAGCTCAGGAATGGTGAACCTGAGGTGGTTTTAGGCCAAAGAAAGGATCCTGCAGCTGCTCCAAGGCCCACACGCTCTGAAGGGCCCAGCCCAGGCACACAGGGCAGTGTTTGGTGACCTGCAGGGAGTG